ATGAACACAACACCGCCATCAAACTCTTTCAAGCTTGAAAACCAATCCTTGTGAGGAGTCATATGATGAGTACAACCCGTATCCAACACCCACTTAGTAGCACAATCAAATGATGAGGAAGTGGTTAAAGCAAAATCAGAAAAATCTGTTTCAACTTCAGCAACATTAGCTTCAGAACTTTCTTTACCTTTGGTCTTCAATTTAGGACAATCTCTCTTCCAATGGCCCTTATTACGACAAAAGACACATTCATCCCTTTCCAAAGGTTTTCTACCTTTAGAGTTTCCTCTAGGTCGAGACTGTGATTTTTTCCTACTAGAAGATGATCTTCTCTCCGATGATCTACCTCTAACAAATAAAGCTTCCGAAGTACTATCATGATTTTTATCTCTATGCCTCATTTCATAATTCATCAAGGCATTTGACACATCTTCAAATTTCACAGTTTCCTTACCATGCATAATAGTGGTAACAAAATGCTCATAAGAGTCCGGCAAGGAATTCAACAATATTAAGGCCTTATCTTCATCCTTAATATCCTCATCTAAATTTAACAAGTCGGCAATCAACTTATTAAAAGCATCAAGGTGTCTAATCATTTTTGTACCTTCTTTGTATTGGAAGCGGTAGAGCTTTTTCTTCAAGTGTAGCTGGTTCTCTGCACTCTTCGTCATATACTTGTCTTCCAATTTTTGCCACAACACACTTGCCAATGTCTCCCGCATCACAAAATACTTCTGAGTTTTTGCAAGGCACAACCGAATTGAAGAGCAAGCCCACAAATTTAATTTCTCCCATTCCGGCTTCGACATAGCTTCCGGCTTCTCTCCCAAAGCGGCAAGTAGATCTTGTTGAGCCAACACATCTTTGACCTCACATTGCCACATCCCAAAGTTGTTTGTGCCATCAAACTTTTCAACTTCAAACTTTGCATTTTGCACCATAGTTCTTGCAAATCCGGAGCTGCTTCCAAAAGGATTCTCATCTTGCCCGTCTGACATTTTTGGCAATTAGACAGTACCCAAGAGCAACCAGTGCTCTGATACCAATTGTTATGCTAGGATAGCACCAAACTAAATGGAACCATCTTAAGTTAACCCACAAGAAATTTATCAAATGAAAATGAAAGAACAAAATATAAAAGACACCAAGATTTTAACGAGGTTCCTCAACAGTCAGTGTAACTGGAGTACGTCCTCGGAGCAGTAGGAGCTCACCATATAATCCACTATCAACCAAATGGGAGTTTACAAAGTGTTGACAATCTCACAACCCAAAAGCCCAATACACCCAATAGCTCTCACACACCAAAGAAACAAATAGAGAAAGAAATATAAAGAATAATTTCTTCTCTATACATATAGCTCAAAGCTATTACAACAACAATTACTTTGGTTGATGATTACCAATCAAATGAAGCAACAACTTCTTCTTCTGTTTTAGGCTCTCTGCAACTCTCCCTTGCTCTCTGCAAAAAGGAGCTCTTTCTTCTCTCTTGTGTTTTCCAAAACCGAAATGAGCTCACCTCTTCTTCTTGCTTCAAAGGCAATTATATTCTATTAAACCAACACCCACGGGTGTTGAAGAGAACAAAAAACAAAAAACCTTTTCCCTTTTTTTCCTCCCCAAAACAAGGAAAGGTGTTGTCCACCTTCTATTTTTTAGGTTTGTTTAGCCGAAAGGTCTTTTGGACACTTGTCCACTTGGCCACATACTCCAACAAAAACTAGCACCAGCTTGAAGTTTTCAACCCTAATAGGCATTGACCCAGTGGATGGAATGGACACAGGGAAAGAAACCCCTCCACCGATGCTAACCTATGTTCCTCAGTCATTCGATCTTGAGATGCCTGTGATGGTGATTGGTTCACGTTTAGGTGAAGTGAAAAGGAACATTTTGTTTCCTCCTTGTGCTCCAAAGGGTGTAAACCATGAGGACTTCTTCAACGAATGCTGGAAACTGGCTTGTTATTTTGTGGCAAAGGATTATGGCCATCTTGACATGCGAGATGATCATACCAAGGGGATTACAGGGAAAGCTACGTATTGTTTATGCAAAAATGGGAAGTCTAGGCAGCCCATGAGGAGGTTTGTTGGAGGGGTTATGGTTGCTTTCATAAAAGCTTATTTAGAAGGCGATAATAGTTGGCTATAAGAGAAGGGGTTGAGACTTTGCCAATAGAGCTTCAAAGTGTCAAATTTCTTTTGTGAAATTTAGATGCATTCTAGATATGTTACTTGCTTCATTACAATTTTGATAAGGATGCTTCAATTAATTGCATTTTGCTTTTTGAATTTGAACGTAATGCATAGTCCGCAGATGTGAGTGTAACCCATTACCCCAATATAACATCAAACCAGACGTGCATTGTTTGCTTTTAGCCTGAGGAATAGAAGTTCTTGGAATGGAAAACCCAAAAGCTCTTACGCAGCTGGTAATCGAACTTTTGCTCAATGGAATTATAGGAATTCATTGGGTATGTTAAAAACTTTAGACTAGTATTTACATTCGGAAGTGCTCAATAGTTTGCACTCGAAGGACCACACGTTACTTTGATCTGTATTGCAAAAGTTTACAGTAGGTTACAACACTATGCCAAGGAATTAAATTCGGCATTTGTGTTTTCATTCATGGATAAACTAAATTTATGTGTCATAATCATTTCGATAACTAACAAATGTGCTTGATCCAACTTCTCTATATGAAACCTTTTCTTTTCGTTAGTTATAGAGCTGTTGGTTGCTTAATCCCTCTTTTCTTCTTTTATATTCGTAAACCGCATTGAACTTGTTATTAGGACAATCTAGTATGGCACCGTACACAATGTAACTTATCCAAATGCACGATAATGCGAAGGACAATTTTGCACAATTCAATCCGCTACAACATGCCAACCAAACTTTAACGTTTTATGCATAGCTAAGGTTGATGATATGATTATATAGGAGCTGTATTAGTTTTTGAAACGAAAAGTTTCTGCTGATTTCTATCATTTGCTTTTTATTTTTCTTTTCATTCCCTGTTACTATGTCTCAATGTGGGCATTTTTTTGTTTGTGTTTCTGCCTTTAGTATTCATCATTGGTTACTTATTTATGTATGGGTTTTTATCACAAATGGTCCCTGAGATTGATCAAACTCATCATTTTGGTCCCTCACTTTCAAAATCAATAAATGTCATCTCTAAGATTCACTACTTCACATCAGTTTGGCCCTTCCGTTAAGATCCCTCAACTATTCTATTAGTTTGTATGTGGGACCCACAAATCCAATGAAATGGTGACACGTGGATTACACAAAATAAGGATTTTTTTTTCTTCGCAAATGGTCCCTGACATTGATTAAACTCCTCATTTTGGTCCATGAGTTTCAAAAACTAATAAATTTGGTCCCTAACTTTCACTACCGTACATCAATTTAGTCATTCCTTAAAAAATTTCCTTAATATTTTTTGTTTGTGTGCTAATGTGGTCCCACTAATCCAATCATATGGCTAGTTTTGGTTTTTGTTTTTTATTTTACTTTTATTTATAAATCTTAAAAAAATAGTTTCTTATAGTTAATTCATGCGGCGCCAGATGATTGGATTAGTGGGACAAAAAATATTGACAAAACTTTAATGGAAGAATTAAATTAACATGTGGTATTGAAAGTCAAGGACCAAATTTATTAATTTTTGAAACTCAGGGACCAAAATGAGGAGTTTGATCAATGTCGGGGACCATTTATGATAAAAACCCTTATTTTGTGTAATCCATGTGTCACCATTTTATTGAATTTGTGAGTCTCACATATAAACTAACAGAATTGGTGATGAAATCTTAACAGAATGACCAAATTGAGGTGCAGTAATGAATGTTAGGGATGACATTGATTGATTTTGAAAGTGAGAGACCAAAATGATGAGTTCGATCAATCTCAGGAGCCATTTGTGATAAAAACCCTTTATGTATTTATTTACTTCATGTTATAGATTTTTGGTTGAAATAGATTAACACCGACACTGGCTGGCTTGTTGTGGGTATCAGAGCGCTCTGTTATTGCAGTTTTTTGTCAGTCTCAAGCTCTAATTTTAGGGGGATGAAGATGTATGCCTTTTAACTTTTTACTTGTTTCAAATTAGGTTAGTTTCTAAGAATTTCTGTTTTTAAGGCTTTTGTAGAAGTTTCATATTATTTTTTCTTAATGTTGGGAATGTTATAAATTCCAAATTTAAACAAATTCTTGCCGAGTACAGTCCAACACCGTTGTGTTTACCAATTTTGATGTGATCCACTTTCTAACGTCCAAGGGGGCTTCAAAAGGTCTAGCATAGGTTCTTGCTAATGTAGCTCCATCCGAGTATAAGGTAGTAATGATATTTATGTTTCCACCACTCATTTCTTTTTAGGTAAATTATACAAAACTACATTAACTATAGGTCAAACCACACTATCATACCTCATCTTTTAAAAATAACAATATCATACATCATCTTTAGAATTTGTTGCGATGTTATACCTCCGTTAGTTTGTCTGTGAATTTCTCAATTAAATGTTGACCTGGCTTGATGCGGGGCCCAATTCCTCACCCAGATGGATTCCATGTGGCACCACACCCAAAGTTTTCTTGCCAAAAATGAACACGTTAGAAAATATATATACATATATATATATATATATGTATATAATTTGAACCCACCAAAAAGTGAGAAAAAGGTGATCTAACATTTTAAGCATAGATTATCATCCTTGACCCCAAATTTGAAAAATCTCACCCAAAAATAATGATATAACCACAACAAAACTAGTGTATTCAAGCACAAACTACTCATCATTTATGAAGAAAAATATTAAATGGGCCAAATTATGCATAAAACCTGCTTAATTATCCAGAAATTCATAAACCTGTTAAAAAAACTAACTGAATTCATCTAGCATCTCCAACCAACATTACAAAACCTACTAAATTCATAAAAACCTGCTACAGCATCAATTCAATTCACAAAAGACCTACTGGATGCATAAAAGTGAACAGTACCGCGAGCTTTTCGTTAAAACTCCCTAAATTGTATGATTGGTCTATAATCGGCCTCATTATTTTTCAATGCCTCTTTGATCTCATTCCTCGATTTTTGTAGCTCCTCGTACAAAAATCCCCATTCATGGCTTTTTATCCCCATCCACAAGTTGAAGAACCTTAAACAACAGTTCAAACACTCTCAAACAAAGTGAGACCCTATTCCAAAAATATGCACTCACCATGGTAGCATATGCCGTTTTCCCTTTTATACTCTTGGAATGTTTGCATTGTTCCCATTCATCACTAGCAACCATAATCCTCGAGTCTTTTTTTCTTATCAACCAAGCTTTGCAAAGTTGGGAAAGCAGCTGGAAATCTTGTGACTTCAAGCCTCACTATGTCTCTTTTCTTTGTATACTTTCTCATCAATGCTAATGTTTTATGATGAGCATAAATAAAGATAGTAAAAGTCTTTGCCTTTTCAATGACTCATTTGAACCTAGGTAGGTTACCAATTCATTGAAGCATGAGGTTCAACGTGTGAGTGGCACATGATGTCCAAAACATGTATGGCCTCTTTTCCATCATATTGTTAGAAGAATTGTCAATTACCACTTGAACTACATTTTGTGAACCAACTTCTTCGATACACTTGTTAACATATTCAAAGATGTATTCCCTGGTGTGTGCTTCATTAGACTATTTCTTGGAAGAGAGAAATATTGTGCCTTGTTTGCAATTCACACACAAATTCATTATACTTCTTCTTTTTCAATCTCTTCAAGCATCGATCATAATTGAGCAACCATTCAAAGCACATTCTTCTTCATACTTCTTAAGAAATTGTTTTACCCCCTTCACCTCTTCTTTCAATAAAGGCTCCCTTAAATCATATTGACTTAAAGGTTGGTAACCCATGCCAAATTGACCAACCACTTCCACAAAGCTTTTGAAGTTGTCGTTATCAATGGCATGAAAAGGAATATCGGCTTCGTAGACTTATCGAGCCAGATATTGATCCACCTGAAATCTTTTCAAATTGCATCATGGAGATTTTGTTATCGCTTACTCTTACTTCCATCATTTGATTTTGAAGGACCAAGATTGATGGAGGATGCAAACCTATCAATAGGCCCAAGAGTTCGCGACCTTTTCCTTGACCCAACAACTTCAATATCTTCATTTTCTTCAGTATGTGGAAGTTGAACCTTTTCCCTCACTTCCTCATAGTGATTGTTTCTTTCTTTCTTCTTCTTTTTTGTTTCTTCTAATGCAGCTTTACATTTTGCTTTATCTTCATCCGAATACTTTGTTTATCTAGCTACATTTCCCTTGACATGGGCTATGTTTTATTTCATTCTAAAATGCCACCACTGAGTATTTTTTTACAAAACTTACATTGCACCTTATCCGAGTTTGAAGGATCCACTAACACCCCATACTCCCATCCCACATCATCTGAAGCACACTTTAATAGATTATCTGATTGGGTGGATAACATTGGATTAGATGCTCCGGATGATACAGTGCCCGCCATCTAAAAATAAAATTCCATTATCAAATTCACTACAAAGTTACAAACAAGATTATCAAATGCACAGATACTTCATTAGCTCATCAACTACACAAATACTTCAAACATTCCATTATCAAAATTTCAAATACACAGATATGAGATACTTCTATTCAATACCTACTTGAGCAATACCTATAAAAATCATACCATTTGCATATCAATTCATGAGCTTGTATGTTATGCAAGTCAGAAGAAACTGAAATCCCATCCCAACCTAAAGGATTATCCCAGGCCAAAATGACTCCGTTATGATGATGGTTTCTCATGTTCCCAACAGAAATGCCAAACTACACAAGATTGTTTCATATACCTCGGTATAACATTCTATATTCACTAACTTCCTAACCAGTGTAGGCGCTACCAAAACAAAGTAATTAGTTAGCCAGAAAAAAATTTATGCTGCCTCGTCAAGACAACAACAGGATTTGGAGATTGAACAGCTTTTATTTATTAAATCGCATAGTTCATTGTACTGTATTCGAGCTCCTAACCCATCTATGAAATTAGTATTCCACTATCCACAAGAAACTATAAAAGTTGCCTATATTATTAGAATTTACACCCATATTACAGAATCTTGCATAAAAAATATATATGAAAAACTAATGAGATTCACTTGGGCATCTCGATTCCTTGCAAAGACTTAACTCCTTGAGATTTTTTTTAATATATTATATATCAAATTATCAATGTAGAGCAGCAAATCATTGCAATTGGCATCAATTAGATTTTCAAATAAAATATGGGAAATGTTAACCTGCAACTGCAAGCCATGGAGAGCGTGGAACTGACTCAAATGAGAGAGGTGGACCGTGGAAATCTGGTGATAGGATAGGTGGAGATTGTGGAAATCAGGAAAGGCAAGATGATTTGCCTAGTAAAGAAGTCGAGAGACGATGCCCAACAAAGGATTCGAGACGCGAGACAGCCAATGAAGATGAGATGGAATTGTACAGAATTGCAAAAACTTCGAATCTTTAGAAAATTAGGTTAATAGGGGATGAGCTCGTCGACACGGGAACCTGAAGTTAATTTATTTAAGTTTTAATTTAGAATTTAAATGTTAAAAAAATAAAAAAAATAAAAAGACCACCTAGCCTCCTAGCTCCACCTAGCTGCCTAGCTTCCAACCGATTTTTCCAAACGCCTTGCCTAAAATTAGGGCGGGGCTGCACCACCCAACACCTAGGCGGCCACTTAGGCCAATTTTTAGAACAGTGTCTGCATCAAGCCACGTCAGCATTTAACTGAGAAATTCATGAACAAACTAATGAAGGTATAACATTGCAACAAATTCTAAAGATGAGGTATGACATTGTCATTTTTAAAAGATGAGGTATGATAGTGTGCTTGCTTTGACATATGGTTCAGGTAGTTTTGTGTAATTTACCCTTTCTTTTTTATCATTATTGTTGTGAGAATTGACGTGTTGTTTATTAATAGAACTTAAGTTTTAATTAAAGAAAATCTCATGCTGGCAAACAATTTATTAATTAGGACCTTACATAAGCATAATAGTCATAAATCTCCTAATTGCTAATATTCATTACAACTTATAATATGTGTACAGTGAGACGTCTAAATAACCTATAATAAGTTGACATGTGTAAAACAAATTAATTAATAACTAAAATCTACATGGTCGGTTCAGGGTTTTGGTTGGTTTCAAAAGTGTCAAAACGAAACCAAACCAAAAGTAAATTAGTTTTGTTCAGTTTTAAAATTGTTTGACTTTTTCTTGGTCAAAACTAAACCAAACTAACTAATACGGTTCGGACCGGTCGGTTTGGTTGGTTTGGTCCGTTTTATGCTCACCCCCATGTGCCATTGGTCTCATCATTAAGTGCATACACCCGTGTGTCATGTTTTGTATTTGTGTTTTAAGTGAGATTTTCTCTTGAAAATAATATTTAGTACTAATTGCGTGATTGTTTAGTTAATGTTTGTCATGTATCCAAAAAGTATCCATATGATAAATGATTGGCATGTGATAAAATGATGAAATGGGAGAATCTCTGCTCCTTGTGGCCTTGCGTTCAAGTTTTCACAAAAGCATATGGCTATAGATAAATATGTCTCTTTTTCTTTTTCATCATCGATATCTGGCTTGGCTGCTTTTATCAGAAATAGCCATAACTGCAATCACACGGAAGAAGCAACACCTATAAAGTTCCGTGCCAATCAAATAATGATATGTATGATAAACCATACATACGTGGTTTTATTATTGGCACAAAAGTCTCCGGAATAAACACTCTTGAGTCTTGCTGGCTTTACCAAAGCAGAAGCCGATGTTTCTCTTCTGCCTTGGGCTTTTGGACCTAAAAATAACAACAATGCGTTTGGTTTGCTCAAAAGAGAGCCACCATTTCCGAATAACAAAAGCCTTTTCAAGCTTCAACAACGCCACGAGAAATAGAACAAGGATCCTCTCCGGATCCTTTTTGTAGGGATCTGAAGGATCAATCAATTTTGTCTGTTCATCGTATATCGTGTGGTTAAAAATCATTTTAAATTTTAAATTGAATATAATAGTACCTAACAAAAATTGACCGTATGATATACGATGAACGAATAAGATTGAGTCATCCTTCAGATCCCCACAAAGAGGATCTGGAGAAGATCCTTGTTCTGAGAAATATTTGACGGTCGTACGCACCACCACCCTCTTCTTTCAATAAACCCTAAACCCATATTACTAAAGACACCAGTCACCACCACGTACAGATTAAGTACACCACTGGACACCAGTCACCACCACGTACAGATTAAGTACACCACTGGTCCATTGAAAACGAGATACACTGAAAGCTAGTTTGAAAGCTAGCAAAACTGTTCGATTCTTCGTCCCCTCAAAAACTTTTCTAGTTTTCACGTTTCGATGAGTTTTTTTTTTATTATTCCGATAGGAAAGAAAAAGTTACAAAGGAAAGTCTTCAGGGCAAGAAAAACTACAAAAATTCCAAAACCAAGTTGAACGCTCCTCAAGAAGAAGAGTCTGTCTTCTTCAAGACAAACTATCATAAGAAGACTGGGCTTATAATTGTACGCTTTTATATGACTGAAAATGATAGAACCCACACCTAAATAATTGGGGCCGAGGACCTCCTCCATTTATAAAAGCGACGCTACCTAAGGAGAGTACACTAGCAACGAGATATCTTTTATCGGAAGTCCCTGAAAAGAAATAACGACTGTAAAAATTAAAGTGTAAGAGAGAGTAAACTGTTAAATTTCCCATAAATCAATACTTCCAATTTCTCTTAAAACTTCTTGTAAAGAAATATGGAAGTTAAATTACAATATTTTTTTTTTTAAACAAATGATATTATCTATATTAAAAGTGTAGAGAAGTAAACTAAGCCTCACAATGGGCTAGCAATAATGTAGTTGGTGAGAATTGAACCTAAGGTTTCTCATTACATGCTGAAAAAAAAAAACATTAGGCCATAATACTAAATGACAATTAAAATATCATTTTTTAATGTTAAACTTTTGATTAAATTATTTTAACTTAAGGAGAATATAATAGTAATTTGACAATTTTTAGTTACAAAGAGGATTTTCTTAATAATAATACTAGTAAAATACACACACGATGAGATAGAAAGAGAACGGCACATGTACTTAAAAATAAAATAGTCAAATTCTCATTTAATAGTATACATAATTTTCATTTTAACTTTTTTTTTTGTTTTTTTTTTTTTTGGTCAAACGATAAATTTTGTTAGATTAGTCATCCACGGAGTTCGAATCCACCCCGTTATACAAGAGCTTAACTCATTTCTACCACTGTGGTAAAATGCCACTTTTACGCATTTTTATTAATTGAATAATCAAAGTTATTTTATAAAGAGGGCATGCTTGTCTCTTCACTCTCCTTGGTTGATAGGGAATGTCATTGGAGATGGATGTTTTCAAATTCTCTGCAAAATTTAGCTAAGAGCTTCTTTAATCTGCTCCAAATTTAGCTAAGAGTTCATTCAGAGAGCCCATTAAAGATGACTGATGAGATTAAATTTGATTTCAGTAAGAGTCTTGTTTTCATTTGATAATTATTCTTCACAATACTTGCAAGTGTGAGAACATTTAAATCTTGAAGCATTACAAGTCATGCTAGAGCGAAAAGAATTTATATATGATCATGATATACTGTATTTATTTCTTTATTTTTCTTAAAGTATAGAAAGAACATATTTCTTAGTTCTACGCAAAGCTTTTTTCATAATAGAAGAGTTTCGAGAACATTATATTATAAACGATGCTGATTATCTTTTGCTTGTTTCCATTTTTTGTTAACAATAAGAATAATAGCTACATATGTGAATTTAGCGTTGAAATAGTAAGTGGCAATTATGCTCTTGTGAAAGACAGAATGTACACCCTTAAAATGCATTCAAAGACGTTTGATTAAAGTAGAAAAGATGCATTCAAAGTCTGTACCACCAATCCATGTCAAATCAACCTATCACTTCGTTTCTCTCTGTATCTGTGCTGCTGCAGAAACCCAAAACAAACAAAAGAAAGTGAATATATATCATGTGCGCGGGCATGGGCAAACTGACGCGGCCTCGCTGTGCTCAGAGTGCATAGACCAGACCAGTAGCAGTTGACCTTTTGGCTAATTTGAACGGATCATGATCCTCTCCTAATCTAAAGATGAGAATCTTCATGATCAAGAGATGTAGATCGTTGGATGAAAATCCAACGATTATAATTATTATAATTTTAAAAAGATCTTCTATTTGTAGCCGTTAAATTTTTATCTAACAACCTATATTCTTTGATCATGAGAATTCTCATCCTTAAATTATGAGAGAATCCTGATCCTTTACGTATAATTTGGAGCAGCCATCCCATCATCCCCTTCCTCTTTGTCAAAATGTCTCACCCAATCCAGCAAAAACATGAATAATAATTCACTCCGTTTCAAATAAATAAAAAAAGAATTTAAAAAAGCAATGTCCATAATATAATGTCAGAGCCTCGTTAAATGATGGATTCAGCATAATCTACGGCTTTGCTCATATATATGGACAAGAATTGTCTGCCTTTTTACTTCTGGTGTCCTTCCGTGTCTTTCTGTTTAAGTGGTTACGGTTAAACCATGTCAATATTTTATATTACTATTTATTTTTGTCTTATTATCTTTATAAAAAAAATATAAAATGTTAACGTGACTTAACCATAATCACACAAAACAGGAGGAAACGAGAGGGCACCAGAAGTTCTATCCTTGTCCATATATATTTGTGGTGATTTTGGCGGTAACGACTAACGAGAGGGATCAGGATCCTCTCCTGATCTAAGGATAAGGATTCTAATGATCAAGGAGTGTGGGACGTTGGATGAAAATCTAACGGCTATAATTATTATAACTTTAAAGGGACTCCCTTGTTTGTAGCCATTGGATTTTCATCCAATGGTCCACACTCCTTGGTCATGAGGATTCTTATACAAGGATCAGGGAAAGGATCCTGTACCTAACGAGAGAGCCCAAACGACATCTCCTCGGGATACATATAAACGTCATCATTTTCCTTGGGTTACATGTTTGGGGGAGGCAGATTGTCTGCCTTTCCCATCAGTTCCTATTTTGTGCGGTTACGGTTAAATCACGTCAACATTTTATATTGATTTTTTTATATACAAATAATAAGACAAAAAGCAATAGGAATATAAAATGATGACGTGGCTTAACCGTGACCGCATAAATAGGATGGGCTAGATGAAAACGAATTGATCTAATATATATACACACACACACACACATAGGCAAGTGTTATTAACACTCCTAAAATCCCATTTTACACTCCTCACAAATATATTTTTCTTTCTAATTATAGAAAGTTTGAGGTGCAAAATGAGATTTTTGAAATACCAATAACAATTCCCTACAATATATATATATATATATATATATATATATATATATATATATATATATATATAGTAATGCTAATTAAAATAAATTTACAAATCAAAAAATATGTTACCAATAGAAATAAGTACATTACTTAACATTTAAATAATCATTCAATAATTAACTTTTATGTCATTTAATTTACTAAATTTTACTTACAAATTTAGTTTGCCTATATATATCCCGTGGTAAAATCTCTCTTTTCATTACAATTTCCTTTACTCTTAAATATTGTTTCGAGTCTAAGGCGCGG